GTTCAATCCCCAATACCACCAAAATCAAAACAAAGATGTACTAATGGGTATTAAGGCACCATTTCAGCAGGTTTGTTTTTAAGGTGTAATGGTTTTGGTTTGGTTTTGGTACTGGGGTTTTCAACTTGGCGGCCCTTGGTGCTTGCTAGGCAGCCCTCTAACCCTTGAGCTATAACACCCAACCTCTTTATGTTTCTTGTAAATAAAATTTTTCACGAAATATTTAAGAAATATAAAATCAAACAATTTTTTTGGATTCCATGCTTATTAACCCTCTACAACCTCACTTGTTGGTCTATCACTTCTTTTTCCTTTCTTTGCTGTAGCTTCCTTTTTTTGGCAGGGGGGGGGGGGTTGCATCATACTGGGGTTTGAACTCCAGGGCCTCATCGCTTGCTAGCAAGCACTTCTACCACTTGGCCACTCCACCAAGCCCTCCTTCTTTACTACAACTTTTAAAACACCTTCTTTCTTGCTGGTCTTCTTGTTGTCTCCTTTTTCTCCACTTTGGTCAACTTTCCAACAAAACGATACATTATAACTGCACTGGGGAGGAGGGAGAAAAACTATTATTAGCTGTTTTGGTTTAAGACGGTATGGTTAAAAGTGTATTCTGGGCTCTTGAATGTCTTGTTCTCTACTTGTCCTTTAATGTTTTTCTTCCTGCTTTCCTGACGTGAGGATAGTTCCTCAGATATATGATGAATTGAGTCTAAAACAAAGGGAATTTGTTCAAACAGCTATACTCTGACATTTCTGGCATAATTCTTTGTGGTGAGAGCCTTGTACTGACATTATGGATGTTTTACTACCATCCTCTGATCCTTCTTCTTGGCTAAATGTTTCACATGCAACCTCCAGAGATTATGACACCTATAAAGGTGTCTGGATAGAGAACAATGTCCCATGGAAATAAAAGCACCCATAGTTTAAGAACTGCTGTCCTAAGTGAGAACTAAGTTGGGAAACTGTGGCCTAAGTACCCTCTCAGCTCAAACAGCATGACCTAGAAAAAATATTTGGACACATTTCAATTAAATTAAATTCACAATTATTACTAATTTAAGAAATAAGCCTGTTAGAGATCAAAAATGTTGACCCCTATCAATTTTTTGAGGGGGTGTTGGGAATCTAACCCAGGACCTTACACATATATTCTACCACTGAATATACCCTAAGCCCCATCCATATCATGTTTTAATACTAAACAGTGTAAATCTTGTTTCTTCATCTGATTAAATTCAAAGTAAAAAATTTTTAGGAAAATGAATTTTTTTATTTCATGCTACTAATATTTAGTAACTGAAATAAGACTACTAAAAATAAGGCCAAAAATTATTCAAAAGTACATCTGTCTGTTCAGGGGGTGTGGTATGGGGACTGAAACTCAGGGCCTCTAGCAAACACTCCTAAACACTTGAGCCATCCCCACCCCCTTTACTTTTACTTTTTCAATACAGTCTCAAGCTTCGCCCATAAAGTCTTCTAATCATGATCTGTCCCCAAAGTAATGGATTTCAAGTATGTGCCACCACACTTGGCTTGCTTTTGAAATAGGGTACCATTAACTTCTGCCCAAGCTGCCCTAGAACTACGAACTTCCTATCTCTGCCTCCCGGGTTGCTAGAATTACAAACATGTACCACCATGCCTGGTCCTTTGTCTCTGTTTTTTGAGATAGGGTCTCACTATATAGCCCTGACTGGCCTCAAACTCACAATTCTGCTGCCTCAGCCTCACAGAACTGGGATTACAAAGCATATGCCACCAAATCTGACCTCAAAGTAGATTTTTAAAAACAAAGAACATGACAGAGAGATCTCTGCTTACACCTTTAAAAAACACAATATCTAAATATGAACAAACCTCCATTTACTTGACTTTTCCGTCTTACTCGAGATAACTGTTTGTTAGGCTTTTCTCCTGCTCTTGGTGTTGATGTGATCAAATTATTATCTATATCACGTTCAATTCTACTCCGTTTCGAAGGATTTTCTCTCTCTTCCTTAAGATATAAGAAGAAAAAAACATGCACTGAGCACATTCTGTTGAACTGATATTTTTTAAATGATGAAACACAGTATTTAATGTTTTCCCCTAGTTTTCATATTCTGAAGAAACAAAATGCAATTAACACGAAAGAGCGGTTTTTAAAAAAACAAAAAAATTTAACAGTGCTAAAAAAGCATTAATGCAGTTATAATCAACAAATAATTACAGCATCCCCACAATTCAAATTCTCTCAAGACTCCCCTAAATTGTCCATGCTATTAAAATACTGAACTGTACAATGTGCTCTGAATTTTCAGCCGAACTTCCTTTTTAAAAAACTGTTCTAAAGAACACAGATTATTCTCTTGAGCACTCAGTGTAGGAAGGGATCCTCACTGAACCTGCTGGCATTCATGTATTATCAAAACACAAGGCTTGCCACTGTCATGCCCTCACTGCCAGCCTCTACTATTTAAATGCTCAAATTAACACCGAGAAGTTTATCTGCCCTTTAGCAAAAGACCTCTGTTTGTTGCCTTATTTGGAGTAAGTCCATATGACAAGTTTATATTATTCTTACAGTATGATTGACTAAAAGAATGCACTCTTCCAAGCATTACTCTAATTTATTTTTCCCCATTTAGACATCTATTTTTCTCATTTGTAAAATTTTCTAGAGTCATCTACTGCAGGAGTCATTCTTTTAATTACTGTAATATTGCCAATACTTGATGATTTAATGAGACTACTGAAATCATTTAATACGGATTAGATGATTTGGGGGTGAGGGATGACTCAAGTGGTAGAATTCTTGCCTACAAAGCACAAGGCCCTGAGTTCAAGCCCCAGTACCATATATAAATAATACACAAATAAATAAATACAGAAATAAGGATTCTATTTTCAAAACTATATAATATATTTAATTTACACATATCAACATTCTTACTCAATTGGAGTAACTTCACCACTTTTTTGGTTTTGGCACTTTTATCCCACAGTAATTAATAACAGTATACTATTACCCATTTTCTAAAGGTTGGCTATTTATTGGTTTGTTATTTTTTAAATAAGCCCTAGTATTGTAAATGGCAAAAACTACAATTTCCTTTTTGGATCAAAATGAAAAAAAAAAATTACTGCAAATATCATTCAATACAGAATTTTACTTTTATTCAGCAATTCATCTAATTTTAGGTAGCTCCATCAAAACAATATAGTGTTACAGCACAATATAATGCCACAATAATCCACAAGAAAATTCTTCATATTTTTACTGCATATTATTTCCTTGTATTTTTTTCTTTGGCAGCACTGGGGTTTGAACTCAGAGCTGGGTACTTTTACTGTTTGAGCCGCGCCACCAGCTCCTTTTCTGTGATGCATTTTTTCAAGGTAGAGTCTCAATAACTATTTGCCTCGGATTACAGGCATGAGCCACTGACGCCCAGCATTTCCCTGTATTTTAATGTGATGAACAGGAAGTATCATCTCAAACACTGGATCTCTATTATCAGAAAATATAGCAGTTCTTTTTATAAATAATCCTTTAGGAACAAAAATGTAGTAAAGCTTAAACTATATTAAGGTCTAGCCTTGCCTTGAAGTTTATTACTATAGCTGCTATAAAAAAATATATTGCATACATTCCTGAAAACCCTAAAAATAACAAGACTCATGAAAAAATAGGTCTAGAGAGGCTTATGAAGAGCATGTTGGGACAGATTACTTAATGCTTCTGTAACTTTGTAACCAGAGCACTAATGCAAGTAATGACTAGGACCTCCAAAGGTAACAGGGACACCCCTATCAGGCAGCTGAAGAGTAGGTGAAATGTTACCTCAGGGCATAATAAAAGGAAGTAAAACAATGAAGTAGAAATAAGTGTTTATCAGATCTGAGAAGTGGAGCTTTCAGCCAGTGGAGCTTCTATTAGGTTGACACAAGAAGAAAAGCAAGCTGCCACACTGAAAAGACAGAGCTCCTGCTAACCTCTGTAGCTCTCTGGGGAGGAAGCCCTCACTGCCGGTTGTCATTTTTTATTTTTATTTTTTTTTAAAGATAGCCAGGCATGGTGACACATGCATGTTATCAAAGCACTTGGGAGGCTAAGGCAGGAGGATGGAGAGTTTCAAGCCAACCTGGACTACATAGTGAGACCCTGTCTCAAACAATTTAAAAAAGAATAAAAAATAAAAATAAAGGAATCAAACATGGTGACCTACACCCATAGTTCCAGCTACTCAGGAGGCAGAGAACTAGCAGATCTCAGTTTGAAGCCAGCGTAGGCAAAAGTTGGCAAGATCCCATCTCAACCAATAAAAAGCTGGGCTACGCAGGTAAACAAGGCTGTAAATAGGATGGGGGTCCAGACCTGCAAAATTGCAAGATCCTAGTGAAAAAGTAACTGAAGCAAAAAGGGCTGAGTGTGTGGCTCCAGTGGTAGAGTGCGTGCCTAAGCACACCCTGAGTTCAAACCCTAGTAGCATCCAAAAGGAAGGGAGGGAGGGGGAATGGAGGAAGGGCAAAGTAAATAGTCAAAAAAACTCAAATAAAAGACAGACATTGTCAAATTGAATTTAAAGAGCAATTTACAGAGACAGAGGGAGAGAGGGAGAGAGAGGGAGAGAGAGGGAGAGAGGGAGACAGAGGGAGAGAGGGACAGAGGGAGAGGGAGAGAGGAAGAGAGAGAGGGGGAGGGAGGGAGGGAGGCAGGGAAGGAGAGAGAGAGAGAGAGAGAGAGAGAGAGAGAGAGAGAGAGAGAGACGGACCCTGCATCAAAAAATAAAGAAAAATAAAATAAAATAAAAACAAAAAGAGTTAATAGGTAGGAAGATTGAGAGATCGAGTCCAGCCTAGACTACACAGTAAGACACCGGCTCAAACAACACAAAAAGAAAAAACACAGGTGATAAGGCACTTGCCTATGCAGCAGTTGAACTGAAAGTTTCCTGTTTCCTGCTGGGTGCTGGTGGCTCATACCTGTAAACCTAGCTACTTGGAAGGCTGAGATCTTGAGGATCCCATCTCCAAATAAAAAGAGAGTAAAATGAACTGGAGGTTTAAACTCAGATCTGGCACTTGCTAGACAGGCTCTCTGCCACCTGAGTCATGTTTCTGCCTATTAGGTAAATTTAAGCAATTTTAGCCAGGTGCCAGTGGCTCACGCCTGTAATCTTAGCTACTCAGGAGCAGAGATCAGGAGGATCATAGTTCGATGCCAGCCTGGGCAAGAAGTTCTGCGAGGCCCTATCTCAAAAAACCCTTCACAAAAATAGGGCTGGTGAAGTGGCTCAAGGTGAAGACCCTGAGTTCAAGCCCCAGTACCATAAAAAGAATAAATGAATAAAAAAAAAAAGCAATTTCACAGTATCAAATCAGTATAGAAAAATAAATTCTATTTCTATATATTACCAACATACATACAATTAGAAATAAAAAAATTTAATGTGTATATCTTAAAACCACATCATAACACATCAAATGTCTAGTAATAAAACTAATGAAAGGAGTGCAAGACTTCTATATAACTGGGAGAAATTAAAATTAGCAATATTGGGGCTGAGGGTGTAAATGTGTGCCAGAGGGCATGCTTACCATGTGGAAGGCCATGCGTTCAATCACCAGCACTAAAAGATATCTTTTTTTAAAAGCTGCAGTAATGAAAAAGTGTATCTTCTTCCTTCCCTTCGGTTTCTTTTTTTCTTTTCTTTTTTTTTTTTTTTTTTGAGACAGGGTCTCAATGTAGACCAGGCTAACCTAAAACTCAATAGTCCTCCTGCCTCTGCCTGCCTCATGAGTGCTGAGATTACTGGTGAGCATCACCACATCAGCATTTTTTTTTTGAGACAGAAGTCTCACTTTATTGCCCAGATCACTTCCGGCCACAGCCTCCTGAGTACTTGGAACTACAGTCACTTGTCGCCATGCTTGGCTCAAAAAAGGTGTATCAACCTCATGAACTGGCAAGGAAGGCTCAATATTGTTGAGATGTCCATTCTCACTAAAGGACCCACGTATCCAATAAAATAAATGTTCTAAGTTCCAGTGGGTTTTTCTGAAGAAATAGACAAGCTAATTCTAAAATTTATATGAAAGTACAAAGGATCTAAAATAATAAAACAATGTGGTGGTAGTGTATGCCTGTAATCCCAGCACTCAGAAAGCTAAGGCAGGAGGATCATGAGTTCCAGGCCAGCCCGAATTACACAGCAAACAAACAAACTTGAAATAGAACAAAGTTGGAGGACTTATGCTATCTCACTTCAAGACTCACTATAAAATCACAGTAAGCTGGGCACTGGTGGACTCACACCTGTAATCCTAGCTACTCAGGAGGCAGAGATCAGGAGAATCACTGTTTGGAACTCTCTGGGCAAATAGTCCAAGAAACCCTATCTCAAAAAAAACCCATCACTAAGGGCTGGTGAAGTGATTCAAGACACAGGCCCTGAGTTCAAACTCCAGCACCGCAAAAAAAAAAAAAAAGAAAAAAGACAGCAAAACTGAGTGTTATCCGTGCTTCGGTGGCTCACGTCTGTAATCCCAGCTACTTGGGAGGCAAAGATCAGGAGGACTGTGGTTCAAAGGCAGGCCAGGCAAATAATTCACACTACTCTATCTCGAAAAAAAACAACACAAAAAAGGGCTGGTGGAGTGGCTGAAGTGGCAGAGCGTCTGCCTAATGAGTGTGAGGGCCCTGACTTCAAACACCAGTACCACCATCAACAAAAGACAGTGAAAACCAGGTACAGTCTTTATATATATATATATATATATATGAAAGAAAATATATAAACTATATGAATGACTTAGGGGATTGGGGGAGGAGAATATGAATGAATCTTAAATTGTTGCTTCTGGCATTAAATTCAACCATTCAATCTCAATTTACTTTTTTCATTCCATAATAAATGGCAAATTACTTCCCTAATCCAGTTGTTAAAAACAACACATGCGGAGAGACCTTTGTCCAAGTGGGATTGGACATTGGAAGGGAGAAAGATAACTCCCAAATAAAATTATGATGTTTCCTATTACAGAAGTTGAAGAGTTAGAACAAAGTTTTCATCTATTTTCCCAACTAAGGGACATAATCCATCAGTTTCATGAAAGCAATTTTAAAGTATTATGATCACATTTAAAAGAAATGACAGAACAGAAAAACCAGAGTACATCACAGTACTGAACTTTATTTCATATGTATAATGCAGTATAAGATGTTTCTTTCTACAAATCATAGTTAAAAGATCAATAAGTACTGATTTAATTTGAAGTAAAACTATTTCAGAATTTCATTAGTTAACATCAGAAGAGCAAATAAAGTAGTCTGATACACAGGTAAGCAGGTTTCTTAAAGACGGATTCATAATAGGCATGAAAAGCAATGTCAGATAACTTAGAAAGTACCATAGCTCAAAAAAGAAAGCAAGGAAGCTTGTCTAAATCTTACGTCTACTCACATAGCTGTACAAGCCCAAAAGAAAAGGTATCAAATAAATAAAAGTGGCAGCATAGAGAGCTGTCTAACTAACCTGGACCCAGAAGGAGCCAGGCATGGGGGCACATACCTGTCATCCCAGCATTCGGGAGGTTGAGGTAGAAGGATCAAAAGTTCAACGTCAGCCTGAGCTACATAATAAAAATCTTGTCTTAAAAGACCACGGGCTGGAAACAGGTGCAGTGACTCAAAACCATAATCGTGGCTACCTGGGAGACAAGAGGTCAGGAAGATTGCAGCTAGAGGCCAGCTGGAGCAAAAAGTTTGCAAGACCCCATTTCAGCCAATAAAAGTTGGGCATGGGGGCACATGTCTGTCATCCCCACTACATGGAAAGTGTGAATAGGAGAACTGCATGTCCAGGCCAGTCCGGGACATAAAGCAAGACTCTATCTCAAAAATAACTAGAGCAGCTGGACACCAGTGGCTCAACGCCTGTAATCCTATACTACTCAGGACGAAGAGATCAGAAGGATCATGGTTCAAGGACAGCCTGGGCAAACAATTCCAGAGATCATTTCTCGAAAATACCCAACACAAAAAAAGGGCTGGTGGAGTGGTTCACAGTGGTACAACGACTGCCTAGCAAAAGTGAGGCCTAGCAAGCATGAAGCCCCAAGTTCAAACGCCAATACTACCAAAAAAGTAATCAAATCAGCCTGGTACTGGTGGCTCAAACTTGCAATCCTAGCTACTTGGGAAGCTGAGATTGGGAGGATTGTGGTTTGAGGCCAGTTCAGGCAAATAGTTGGTGAGATCCCATTTCCAAAATAACTAGAGCAAAATGGACTGGAGGTGTGGCTCAAACAGTAGAACACCTGCTTTGCAAACACAAACCCAAGTCCCACTCCACCCCCCAAAAACAAAAACAAGGGCTGGTGATGTAGCTGAGTGGTACAGCAAAAGTACCTGGGTTTAATCCTCAGTACCACTTCCCCCACCCAAAGAAAAGGGAAAGAAAACTAAAGACAGTAGATAGTGATAAATTTCCTATAAAAGTTCAAGCTTTGATCTCATAATAGAATGTAAACAAATGAGAAGATGGGCAGCATATAAGAACTAATTCTTATTTACTTGTACCAATAATTTTCACACTAGAGATTTACTATTATTACACAAAATAGGTAATGCTATAAAGGATAGTATTTAGTTACTATAAGACAGAATGGTAAAGAAGAAATAGTACAGGCATCATAAGTCAGACAGACTTAGGTTAAATCCTAGCACCATCAACCTACTGGAAATGCAGCAATGTATAGTGATTAAAAGTGCAGTCTCTGAAGCCAGGCTGTCTGGTTTCCAGTGTTGACACTTATACCTAAGTAACATGGCACAAGTTATTAATTTCCTGTGCTTTAGTTTTCTCATGTGTAATATGGTACATATGATAGTACCTACCTCATTTATGAGGCTTAAATAAATTACTACACTTAGAACAGTGCTTAGGACATAGTAACTACTCAATACCTACTAGCATTTATTGTATTGTTCCTTATTGTACTTTTATCCTGGACAAGTTATTTATTATTAACAATACTGTTACTACTGACAGTACATCACCTAAATTCACTAAATCTCAGTTTTTTTTCCTCTATAAAATATCAAAAGATGTTTACAAGGATTAAAGACTAGAGATATAAAGTACCTAACAGGTGTTCAATATAGATAAGCTATGAATCCTTACTGAAATTTTGAAAAAGACAGCAACACTGAATTAGGATACATATGTAAATAAGCATCATGTAGACACTCAAGTCAATTTTGGAAGACAGTATCAAGAAGATGGGTTATAACTGGGTACCACTGGCTCACGCCTATAATCCTAGTTACTTAGGAGGTTAAAATGGACAGCATTGCAGTTTATGTCCAACTAGGGCAAACAGTTGGCAAGAAGCCCCCCCTCTTCAAAATAACCAGAGCAAAACGGACTGAATGTGTGGCTCAAGTGGTAGAGCGGTTTTGCAAGCACAAGGCTCTGAGTTTAAGCCCCAGTTCTGCCAAAAAAAAAGAAAGGAAGAAAAAAGATTAGAGGCCAGTATTAAAGCTCATTAAGATACATATATGACAAACTAACCTTTTGTTTACAATTATTTTTTCGAGGGGCGGAGGGGGAAGCAGTACGGGGTTTGAACCCAGGACCTCACACTTGCTAGACAGCACCCAGCCCTTTTTGTTTACTATTAACACAGGAACTGGGAAAAAGGCCTACTATACCTTGGTATCAGCAAGGCAATTAAACACTAACTTCAATTATAATTATAATATAGCATATGACAAATAAATCCAAGTTGAACTGACAGTACAATTAGGTAAATTTGTAGTTGTAACACCAAACCAAAACAAACAAAAAAATAACCTTACTCAAAAATATTAATCACTGAATAAGATTAGTCTGCACAATTTTCCACAGCCCAATCCTACTTTAACATCTTTCACTAAATAAACATCAATGAAGTATCAGAGATCATGGTTTAAGAACAAAAAAACTTAATAAAAATTTCTATGCAAAAAAGCCTGAATATTTTAATTGACATAAGCAAAAATTTACTGATCAACCCAGATCAAGCTATCTCCTAAGGTTTTTAAAAAAGATACAATATAATATAAAGCTACATTAATGGAAGAAGGGCAGGTCATAGGAAGTAAATACAAACAGAAGACACAAGAAAAACCTATGTTAACTTCTGGTTATTAGCCTCAAGAATAACAGAAAAAGTGAGGAAGATGGTAATCTATATCATAAAATAGCATATAATAAACACTAGAAATATTTAGCTTAGAAAATGACTGAGAGTTTGCACTTGTGCATGTAAGGGAACACAGTATCTGTTTTCAAGTGAAAGAATGCAAAAAAGTTATTTATGAGAAGGTAAAGAGCAGATATGAAGCACTTTACAAGAATTCCAGCTGTTGAAGAGAATGAACTGATAAATAAGCAGCCCATCAACAGAGGCTGATGACAACTCATTAGGAATTTAAAGAGATGGAAATTCATGTTTCTGGAAGAAATCTGGCCTTTGTTATCTAATAATACTAGAATACTTATAGGTTGATGAAACAAAATAACAAAAAATTATAATATTAGTAGCAAGTAGGAGGCCCTGAATTTAAACACCAGTACCACCAACAAAATTGTAACATTAGACAAAACAAAAACCACCAAAACAAAAATAAATTTCCTATACAAACACAATATAAATCTTATAATGACACAGTTAAGCTTTGTTATAATTCTATTACAACAAAATCTACCACTACAAATAAGTCATTCCAGTGATTTATTTTACTGTTTGTCAAAGTAAAAAAACTACATTGTAATGGAAAATTTATTATTAAAAAAAAAAACTGTCCCAAGAAACACATAGTAATAGTCAAAAACAAAATCTACATATGAATAACACTATATATTTATAAAGTACATTAAAAGTTTCATAAACTTTTCCACTTTGTTGTATGATCTAATCTGAAAATAATTCTGATACTAGACAAAGCGCTTGGTATTAGTTGCACTTTACTATCTTTCTGAGGCTCAGACGGGTAAATAAATGATTCTTCAAAAGTCACTTGAGTTGGTTCACAGTACGAATACAGAGCCCATTCTTTCAATAATTTTGTATTCTTTAATGAAATAATGTATTTTCACTATATGAATGTTAAAATTCAGGTAGATAAAGGAAATCACCTTTCTAACTACATAATGGATAACATTAACATGAAACTTTTCATTGAAATGAGCAAAAATGAAAATAAAAGAATAAAAACTTTCTTTCACTTCCCATAATATTATACTAAAAAAACCTCAGAAGGCTGAGTGAATTAGTATAGTGAACAAATAATGTTCTCCTTGAATTTCCATTAAATATTTTGCATGTAATAATCCTAAAAAAAAATGTCTTTTTCTTTTTTATTCTTTTATTTTTTTTTCTTAATCCTAAAAATATAACAACATGGAGATGTACACATCCCCTTAAAATTAACTCTGTGGTATCAATTTCTCATCTATAAGTGCTCAGGGAAAACAACCTAAATGTCTCTTTACTTATGTAAGTATGAGATAAAACCATTACCTTGGGTGTGCTTCCTTTGATGAACTTTTTAATTGAAGACAATAAGCCGGTTTCATTCTTTGATGGTTTTTCTCCTCCTGAAGGTAGGCTATCATCAACCTCCGAGTATTTCCTTTTTGCTCTGGCAGTGCGCTGTGTTTGGATTTGATTTGATTGCTGAGAAGTCTTCCGTGTTCTCAGCCTCATCTTTTATAGAAGCCACATGTAAAACTATAAGAGAAAAATAACAAAGGTTATAAAAATTCATCCTTGTGTACCCAAATGTGCCCAAAATATATAATAAAATTTCTTGATTGAAAGGAAAAAAAAAAGCCTAGGTCTTTAAGGGGACTGAAGTAAGAAACTACCACTTTAAACGAAAGGCATTGTGCTTTGTACTTTATATACATTATTCCAGCTAACTGTCCCAACTTTTGAAATACTACATTCTTAACTGCCACCTCTACCCATGCCAAGATTATCATTTTAAACCTTATTTATTCTACAAATACTACTAAGAATTTAACCACATTTGAAGTGCCAGTCTAAGTAAGCACTAAGGAAATAGCTAACAAGGTAGGGGAGGGTTCTGCCTTTCTGACCTTACAATGTAGTGGAGGAAAAACATACTTTGACGAATAAATTAATTTCATGAACGCAATTTTTCTTTTTGGGGAACAACTAGAGTTTGAACTCAGGGCCTCAAGATTGCTAGGCAGGCAGCGCTCTACTACTTTCTTCCCCAGCCAAGAAAATACTTATCAACTGCACGTGGAATGCTCATCAAGACAGACCATGTATTGAGCCATAAAACAAGTGTTGATAAGTTTCAATACTAAATTCTTGCAAAGGATGTTCTCTGAACATAATTGTAAATCAAATTATAAATCAGTAACAAAAATCTTTAAGAGTATTAAATAACTGAAGATGTAAAAATATATATGACACAAGAAGAAAACTGACAGTAATAGCTGGAAACTTCAATATCCCATCTTCAGGAATGAATCATCAAAAGGAGGCAAATGATCCAACAACTCTCTAGACTTAACACATATACAGTGAGTTCTAACAACAGTACTCTCCCCTCAACTTACACGTGACATTCTCCAAGGTGCTATGTGTTATGATACGAAACAGAAAATTTCAAAGGACTGAAATAATGCAAGTATGTGGTCTCCAGCCACAATGGAATTAAATTAGAAATCATGACAAAGGGATGGTTCAACAAAAAAAACTGATAAGCAAGTCAAGAATCACAATCATCTCAATAAAGAAAAAGCTTTTGACAAAATTCAACATCCTTTCATGATAAAACCCTGAAGAAACTAGGAATAGAAGGTTCACATCTCACCATAACAAAGGCTATATATGATAGACCTATAGCCAATATTATACTGAATGGGGAAAAACAAAAAGCATTTCCTCTAAAATCAGAAATGACTCCATCTCAAAAATACCCAACACAAAAAAGGACTGACAAATGGCTCAGTGGTAGAGTGCCTCCCAAGCAAGTATGAGGACTGTAGCTCAAATCTCAGTAACACGAAAAATAAAAGTCAGGAAGGAGATAAGGGTGTCCACAATTATCACTCATACTGCATATAATGCTTGAATTCTAAGCCAGCGCATTAAGGTAAGAGAAAGAAATAATAAGGATATAAACAGAAAAGAAGTCAAACTATCTCTGCTTGCAGATGATATCTGATACTTAAAAAGACTCAAACAATTCCACTAAAAGATTCTTAGATCTGATACACGTTTACAGCAAAGTACAATAAACTCACTGAAAAGTCAGGAAGAGCAATCCTATTCATAATAACCTCAAAAAATAAAAAATAATAAATAAAAAGTAATAATAGTCTCAAAAATACAAAACAAAAACAAAAAATGCTAGGCATAAACTTAACCAAAGATATTAAACGCCTCTACAATGATAACCATAAAGCACTAAAGAAAGAAATTAGTAGACACTGGAAGATGGTGAGACCTATAATTCATATGGAAGCACAAAAGACCCCTAATATCCAAAGCAATCTTGAGCAAAAATAGCAATGTGGGGGGGTACCACAATAACTGACTTCAAACTATACCACATGGCAATGGCACAAAAACAGGCACACAGACCAGAGGATACAAAGTAAGTTCAAGCAGGTACTACCATTTGATTCTTGACACAGGCACCAAAACACACAGTGGAAGAAAGACAGCCTCTTTTTTTTATTTTTGGCAGTACTGTGGTTTAAACTCAAACCCTCATGCTTGCTAGGCAGGCACTCTACCACTTGAGCCACTCTGCCAGTCCTTTTTTTGAGATAGGGTCTCAAGAACTATTTTCTGCAAGCAGACCAAAAAAAAAAAAAAACCCACACAAAACTATTTTCTGGGGCTGGCCTTGAACCACAATCCTCCCGAATAGCTAGGATTATAGGCATGAGCCACTGGCACATGGCTAAAAGACAGCCTTTTTAACAAGTGGTGCTGGGAAAACTGGATCTCCACAGGTAGAAAACTGAAACTAGATACCTATCTTTCACCTGTACAAAAATAAACTCAAAACAGATTAAAGATATCCATGTAAGATCTGAAATTTTAAAACTGCTAGAGGGAAACAGAGGAGAAACACCGCAAGATAAAAGCACAGGCAAGAACTTCCTGAATAGGAGTCCAATAGCTCAGGAAATAAAAGCAAAAGCTGACAGATGGGTTGTATCACAAAGTAAAAAGCTTCTTCAGGGCTGGATGTGGTGGCACACGCCTGCAATTCTAGCTACTTGAAGGAGAGGATTGGGAGGATCAAGGTTTGAGGCCAACCTAAGCAAAAAGTTCATAAGCTCCTATCTCAACCAAGAGCTGGGCACCCACTGCCTGTCATCCCAGCTAGGTAGGGAAGCATAAATAGAAGGACTGTAGCCCAGACAGGCCTGGGCATAAAGCAGGCCCTATCTAAAAATAACCTAGAGCATCTGCCTAGTACGCACGACACCAGGCCCTGAGTTCAAACTCAGTTCTGCCAAAAACAAAGAAAATTTAAAAATAGAACTCCCATATGATCCAGCCACAGCACTTCTGGAAAATTTTAATGTATACCATTTAAAATAAAAATTTTTTAAATTTAAAATAAAAATTTTAATGTATACCATTTAAAACAGCATCATAACACAGCAAATGTCTAGAAATAAAACTAATGAAAGTTGTGCAAGACATCTATATAACTGGGAGAAATTAAAATTAGCAATATTGGGGCTGAGGATGTAAATGTGTGCCAGAGGGCATGCTTACCATGTGGAAGGCCATGGGTTCAATCACCAGCACTAAAAAATATCTTTTTTTAAAAGCTGCAGTAATGGAAAAGTGTATCTTCTTCCTTCCCTTCTGCTTCCTTTTTTTGTTTGTTTTTTGAGACAGGGTCTCAATGTAGACCAGGCTAACCTCAAACTCAGTCTTCCTGCCTCTGCCTGCCTCACAAGTGCTGAGATTACTTTCTAATTATTTGTTGGTAATACATAGAGATATAATTTATTTTTTGTTTATATATGTTCAATTTAATATACATCAATAATTTTAAAAAACAGAAAAAACTAAAGCAAGCAGAAGGACGAGGGGAAATAAATGAAATACCTAATAGAAAAGCAGAAAAATCAACGAAACCAAAATTGGTTCTTGAAAAGGTCAACAAAATTGATGAAATTTTGGCTAGAGGAATCAAGAGAAAGGGAGACTCAACTTACTAAAATTCAGAATAAAAAGAAAGGGACAAAATACCAACCTTACAACTGATCATGGTGGCATACAACTGTAATTCCAGCACTCAAAAGGTTGAGGCAGAAGGATCATTAAGACTGAGGCCAGCCTAGGCTACACAGGGGACCTTTCCTCAAAACAAATGAAAACAAAAAACCAACCTTACAGAAATAAAAGGATAAGGGAATTCTATGAACAACTATATACCAACAAATTACATAACCTGAACAAAATGGACCAATTTCTTCAAAAACATAAACAACAAAACTGGATTCTGAAAACAGAACAGATGAAAGAGCGATATCAAGAGACAGAATTAGTAATTTCAAAAGTTCCCACCAAAAAAAAAGGGCTGGGAGCAGATGGCTTTATTGGTATGTTTTACCTAATGTTTAAAGAATTAACAGCAGTCCATGTCAAACACCTCCAAAACATTTATGAGAAACACTGCCCAACTCATTCCATGAGACCAGCCTTACCACGATACCAAAGTGACATAAATACAAGAAAACCATATGTCAATATCCTTTATGAATATGAATACAGATGCAAGTATTCTCAACACAATACCAGCAGAATAATGAATTATACAACATGATTAAGTGAGATTTATCCCAAGGATGCAGGAGTGGTTTAAAATATAAAAAGCAATCAGTACAGTACACAATATTAATAGAATAGGGAAAGAAATCCACATGATCACCTCAATTAATAAACAAAAGGCATTTGCTCAAATTCTTTCATGATAAAGAAATAACTCAACAAATGAGGAACAGAAGGGAACGTCTCAATCTAATAAAAGTAATCTGAAATGTCCAGAGCACATCATGTATGGTAAAAGATAGAATGCTTTCCCCTAAGTTGAGGAACAACACAAAGATGTCCCCTCTCACCACCTCTTGTCAACATGTTACTGGAGGTTCTAGCAGGCAATTAGACACAAGAAGTAAAAAAAAAAAAAAAAAAAAAAAAAAAAACCCATATTATAGAGAGGAAAAAAAAACCTCTTTCCAGATGACATGACCCTGTACAAAGAATTAAAATAAAAAGTTGAACAAACTAGACTTAAAAAATTAAAAATTAAAAATTTAGGGCTGGTGGAGTGGCTCAAGTGGTATAAGTGCCTGCCCAGCAAACATGAAACCCTGAGTTCAAACCCTAGTCCATCAAAACAAAAATAAATTAAAACTGTAATGCTCACCTAAGACACCACTAGGAAAGTCAGAAGCAAGCAACAAACTAATAGAATATTCACAAAACAATTATTTCCCAAAGGACTTGTATCTACATATAAACAAGCTCTAATCACAAAAGAAAGGACAAATAAGCCAACAGAAAAATAATGGACAAAAGATTAAAAACTCACAGCTATTAGAATGAAAAATATTGCAAAGGATGCAGAACAATGAGAACTCCCATACTCTGCTGGTAGAAACACAAGTTTTGGGCAAAGGTCAGTTATTTGTGGTGGGGGGGGGCGGAGTTGGCAG